AGAGAGAGAGAGACAGACAGACAGACAGACAGACAGACAGACAGACAGATAGACAGAGAGACAGACAGACAGACCGACAGGCAGGCAGGGGAACTGAAACGGGTTGGGGGTGGGATAGAGCTATAATTCTGTTTCTTTATTATATCTTCGCCATTGTGGCCCTGTTGGTCGTCCCTTGTGGCTTCCTTGCGAGAGCGACGGGTGCTATTGAGGGTGTCAATTTGGCGTTGTGGTTAAGACACTCGATCTCCTCGAATCCGAAGCTTGCGGCTCCAATCACTGGGGAACACTGTTGTTGTTGTTATTGTCTTTTTTAAAATCAGGAAGATATCTTGACTCTGGAGAATTCCCACATCATTTGCAGTAGGTGGGCGTTAAAATAGTTGTAACAACGCAGATAGTGGGAAAAAATAGCGGAGAGTAAAAACACTTTCCTGCTCTGGATTTAGGAGGGATGTATGACTTCATCTAGTAAACTTTGCCAAAAGCGAACACTGAACGAACCCGTCATGATTTATATATTATGTTAGACAAGTTTTTGTTGAACGTATCGGCCTATTTCTATATAATAGTGTTTCTACGAGTGGTTGGTGAGCGCTGTCAGACTGTCGTATTCAGTTCTTTAGGATGTATGGTTGCTATGATACCGAGCTGCCTTTATTCTCAACTCCACGAATGCAACCGTGCTTCGTGGTCAAAATAACCCGTATGATGCTTGTAATAATTAAATGCTCCTGGATTCCCCCAAATCATTTTGTGGTTGGTTGATGGGTGCTCTGGTGTGGTTTGCTCCTTCTTTCCTATCCAAGATCTATAGTCCTTACCTCGTCTCCCTCTTGTTTGTTGTTGTTTTGTTTGTTACTCTCTTGTAACATCTCTAATCTTTGGCACTTATTTGACCGTATTGTGTTTCAAGTGACGTAAAACGTTCACTAAAACTGATAATTTTATGTTACCTTCATGTATATGTTGTATGCTGGCATGTATTCCCATAGACCTTCTTGCTGTCTTGAAGAAGGAACTCATTCGACCGTTATTGGGAGAAAAAAAAACACCATTTCCTTGTAGATGTTGCCTTTACACCTTCCAGACTATATAATTATGTAGTCTAGTTCTTTAATAACTAGCTTCCCTTCCGTAGTCCAGTTGCCACAAAGCGTGCCGACAGTGTTTTTATTAACATTTTTTGCCTCTATTTCAGAGTTGACGACACAACTGGGGTTAACGCACTCTGGGTGTTTTTGTTTTCTGAACAAACGTTTTTTGCCCCAAGATTTGTCACACTATAATTGTACAGTGTATCAACGATTTGAGCCGATGTGGCTGGTGGGCGCCTTGACGTCATTTCCTCTCCCTTTGTCTCTCGTAATTCTCCTTCTTGCAAAATATGGCAGGATGTGGCTTATATCTCCGTTTTCTGGCCGTTTTGCGCAACTCCACATGACCTCCTTGTTGTGTCCTCAGGTTCCGGGGAGAACGAGCGGGCCGAGCAAACGTGAACAGAAGCGACGTCCTAAGCCCAAGGATGGCACGGTCCTGTTCTGTGGCGTGTGCGGGGACCGGGCGCTGGGATACAACTTCGACGCCATCAGCTGCGAGTCCTGTAAGGCATTCTTCAGGAGGAACGCGCTCAAGACGAAGGTATGGATAGAAACATGTTACCTTTGTTCTTGTTTCGCTAATTATTGTTGTTGTCCTTTGTCAACTTCTTCCTGTGGGTGGTCGGTGGGTGCTCTGGTGTAGTTTACTCCTTCTTTCCTATCAAACGTCTATCGTTCGTACCTCTCCTTTTTTGTGTTTCTGACTGTTTTGGAACATTTCTAATTTTCGGCACTTAAATGATCTAATTGTGTTGCAAACGCCATAAAAATGTTACCAGAGCAAAAAAACACCAACAAAACAAACACAAACAACAACAACAACAACAACAACAACAACAACAACAAAAACAACCCCACCTAAAAAAAAAACAGATTTGTGCCCATCGTTGTTGTTGGTTTGGGATCACAATTGTCTTGATTTCTCAGCACTATGTGGTCGTTCTCATTTTGATAATCTTCCCTTCAATTCAAACGTCCATCAACTGAAATCTATTGCATTATAGACCATTTCAGTGAATGTCATAGGGATTCGTTCAATTAATTGCTTAATTGAAGTAATCGAACCTTGGTGCATTGTGTTCCCCTTTATCTAGTAGGTCCAAAGATAGTAAATAACAAGATGGGCCACTCAGCCAAAAAAGTGTCCGCAGGAAGTATGCTCTTTGCTTCAGATGGCGCTGCAGTCTGTTTTGAAGCTCTCTTTCGTTTTTCCAGAAGAAGAATAGGAATAGCACCTCTTTGCGTGCGCAGATCGACTGCTGTTCATCAGCAGTTCGGGTACGTTCAGTGCGGAGTTTTAGTTTTTTTATATTTTAATGACCTCTCGCCTTTCATTCTAAAGTCAAATTAAACGAAGAAAACCATCACCCTTTCCTCCGGAAGAGGTTTTTTGTCAGCGTAACCATTTTAAAAAAGCGTTCTTCCGAAATTTATCCCAAAACTTGCTAGTTTCACTTTGATTTTTTAAAACTCAAGTAGGGTAACTCTGTTCGCAAAGAGTGCGCTTTTGTGAAGAGGGCGCCACCAAATTTTGAGGACACTTTTTTAATTGGCTCAAAGAGAGAAGTGGCCCATCTTGTTATGTACTATCATTGGTAGGTCTGCATACGTGAAAACATGCTTTCTTTTCGCAATATATTATAAAAACTACTGAACATCTGCCCACTTGGGACGTAGTAAAGGATTGCACACACAATGTGTAACATTTTTCCTGTGGCAAGCTATCAAAGCAGCGCATTTTCGAAAAAAAAGTATCAGAGCCGCGCACTTTTTTTCGGTGATATGGATATACTTGATTACTTATTACCATAAACGATTTTGATACTGGGCTTGGCTTCAGCATACATCAATTTGATATACATATGTATAGCGGAATTAGAATTTTTATTGAATGTAATAGCTTTTCAGATATAAAAAAGACTATTTACAGGGCAGGGCAGTCATTTACAGTGTTTGGGCCACTTGTGTGAGTAATGATCATGTTTGGCACACTCGCTGCATTCTAGGGGCTCAATGAGAAAAAAAAAACAACTAAAAACCAAACACCCCCCCCCCCCCACCCCCAAACCCCCCCCCCCCCAAAAAAAAGACCCCAACCTTAAGCAACGTCAACACAAGGCGAAAAAATGTTGCCGTTTTGAAAACTAGTTTTAAAAAATTATTTTTTTAAATATAACACGAACAGAAAGAAGATGGCAAGATGACACCAGAGAGCAGAAGGGTACAGGCTGGGTATGAAAAACAACAAATAAAACAAAGTGGAGGTTGTTGTTGGAAGGCTACATCCTGCAATGGACGAACAACGCCCAAAAAGAAAGAAAGATGGTACGGAAACAATTTGTCAATTGACTCATATGGAACATAGTTTTCTAAATATGATTTAAAGAAAGTAGTACGTTACAATTTTTGTCAAGAGGAATGTAACTGCTGGATGGTATTGGCAATTGGATTGTATCGATATCGTTCAGTGCGCGTTTTCATATATATATATTTTCAAAGTCAACAACTATGCTACGCGCTTTCGTCAATATGCCCCCCCCCCCAAAGAAAAAGGAAAAAAAAAAGAATCGTTTCGAAATCTCTACGTATCTTGCGAATTTGTCGATAGGAAAGTCGTGTTTGTCAATTGAAATCTTACACCGCATGTAACAGTTATGCGGCTCTTGTTTGTGTTTTTCTTTTTAAAAATTACAGGGAACAAGATAATATGAATTCCCAGTTTTAAACAAACTGTAGTTTCATGCTTATGTTATACTGTTAAGGAAAACTACTTATGTAAGAGCAACAGACAGGCGGGTAGACAAATGAAGGTAATGGTGAACTGACCAATGTACTGAAAAATGGTGAAAAACGGATAGGCATTGGGTACTTGGGGATAGGAAAGAAATGATGAAGAGGGTTTTTTTAAGAAGGTGAGGGGGGGGTGAAGTTTGGTGTTCTTCGTCACGAAGTCAGCAATATCAGTTTCTCAGTCTTTCTGATATTTTAAAGCATTTTAGATCAATCCTTTTGCTTGTTGTCCTTGTGATCTGAAACGAAAGGATGCCGTTTCGTCCGCCAGAATCTAGAGTAAAAATATTTTAAGATGTATATCCCCAGTACTATCACCACTACCTCCACCACTACCTCCAACACCACCGCTAGCAGCACCACTAGCACCACCACCCCCATCACCACCACCCTCATCACCGTAACATTCATCGTCTTCCTTGTAATCAGTGTTATGGCCATTGTCCTTCTCCTCCTCATCATCATCTTAGTCTTGTTAAACGTGCTTGGTCGGATGAACAAAGCAATTGCCATGAGGAATAAGAATAAGGGATCGGTTTGGAATTGACCCACCCTGAACACAATCATTAGTGGTCCAAGTGTTCAGGCATTGTCAGCTGGGGTAACCCTCTATGGTGAGGACAATCCTCGATTACTGTCCGAAAATTCTGCATATGTCGTTGTACAAGTTAGTCTATCCACATTCCTTAATTATCTCGTGGTCGTAGTTAATTGTTTATACTCAGGTATGTATTGACATTTTTGCCTCGTATGTCAATTACCCCCCGAGGCGGTGCTGCTGACTGAAGTGTCTTTAGGCCACTCCCAAGAGGGGGGGGGGGGGAGGCATTGGCATCTTGAGATCTTATGCACAGTAGAATTGTCAATTGTAAATGGGCCGATTCAACAATGTCATGCTCATAATAAATGTGCCTGAACTGCAACAGGGAACTTCCGCTTTTTCCTTCCTAATCCTCACTGTCGTCCTTTTTCCTCTACTTCTTTTGTATGTTTGTCACACTCTTGTGACCCGCTATTTCCGGGGTGCCATGGTAGTCGAAGCAGACTTTGTGTAGTTGAAGCTAGAGAGGTGAGCAGAGTAAGTCTGATTCCCTGTAAGGACTTCTCCGTTGACCTCCACCCCTTGGAGCTCTTATGACCTTATGCAGTTGCGAGCGCCGTAAAGCCTCTACTAAAACAAAAAGGTCTGTCAATTGCTGCTCAATTTGTTCTGTCTCAAAATTTTGCATGTTTGCTTTCCTTGAAAATACCTTTCAGGGCTACAAAATGCTTTGATAAAAATCATACCCCCTGTCTCTTCCTAGAGGAACATAACTTACTGTTAATCTCCCCCCCCCCCCTTTTTTTTCAGTAAACTACTAAAACTAATGAGAAAACAATTTAATCCACAGACACGACAACACAAACCACTACACGTAACTGCCCGTTCCTCTCCCCCTCCTCCACCATATTACTAATGACACTAATTTCCCCTCTATTTTATCTTTAGTTTTTGATGGACTTTTTCTCCCTGTGAGTGTTACACTACATTATTTTTCCTCTTTCTGTCCGCAGCCTTTCACCTGCAGCTTCGAGGGCAACTGTAAGCTTGATCCCCACACACGAAAGTTCTGCTCTGGGTGTAGACTGAAGAAATGTTTCAACATTGGTATGAAAAGGGACTGGATCCTCAGTAAGTCATTGTGTCCTCTCTCTTTCCAATTTATGGACTAAAAGCCTAATTATATGTATACCTTATTTCGTTCAAACCTGCGCTCATGGGACTTTTTCTCTCCACCCCACCC